CTTAAGCAGCTGACTCTTGATCTCAGCTCAGGTCTCCATCTCAGGGTCATGAGTTCGAGCTTGTGTTGGGCTCCGTGCCAGGTATGGAGCCTACTTCAAAAATAAATAAGTAAATAAAAATTTAAAGAAATAAGATAAAAGGCCAAATTCATTTAGTATACCAATTCCCAGAATAAATACAGCCCAGTGTAGGAATAGTAGGATGTATTCTTATCCATTCGATACATTTTAATATTCAACACATTTTAATATGAAAACTCCACATTATTGTTTTTATTCATTATTTATAGAGAGCAAGAGACCAAGGCAGTGTTCAGTGCAAACATACAGGCACAACCTCTGCCTCTGGGGACACATAGTCAAAGACAAATGTAAACATGATTACCCCCAACCCCAAATCAGGGGACTCATCCCTCTTGCCATTCTAAAGTAGAATATGACCTGGGTAAAGGAGACTGTCCCTGCTGAGATCTGATCCCGTTTAACATCGGTGATGTGACCACTGAATTGTTTGGTTAAAATACAAAAGGAGGGGCCCTCAACCCAAGGTTAATAATGACAGAAAGCATTGATGTATATATCGTTCTTATAGTAAGTCCTCCTCACTGAAAACAGCATCAGTAAATAAATTAATAAATTGAGGAAAAAACAAAGTTCTCCACATTCAGAGATAAAACTAAACTAAATCTCTCTAACCCAATAGTAGAATATTTCTGGAAAGCTTTTTACCACAGGATCTAGCTTCTAACACCATACATAGCACATAATACGTGCTCAAGAAACAGTCACTTTTATTTCCACCAACTATCTTTATCCATTTTAAAATATCCTTCTTGTTTCAGAGATGAAATAATAATCCAGAGAACTGAACTCATGGTTTAAAATCAGGGGCACCTGGGTGGCTCAGTCAGCTAAGTGTCTGAATTTTGATTTCGGCTCGGGTCATGATCTCAGGGTTGTGAGACAAAGTCCTGTGTTGGGCTCTGCACTCAGTATGGAGTCTGCTTGAGTTTCTCTCTTCCTCTCCTTCTGCTATTCCCCCTATTTTCTCTTTCTCTCTCTCTAAAAATAAATGAATGAATGGATAAATAAATAAATAAAAAAATACTTTTTAAAAAAATCGTAAGGTTCCTTCCTATTTGGGGTGAGGCATGGGAGAGGAAAACCAAGTTAACAAACATATACTTGGCCTTCCACACTCCAGCATGGTTTGGGGCATTTCCTAGGTGCTCACAAATAGTGATGGACAGAGAACCACATCTTCTCTGTGTGCTAACAAATGTAAGAATTTACATCATACTTGGTCTTTTTCCACTCCCATGAAAAGTGATCTCTGAGCCTTCATTCTGGTAAAAGAGAATTCGGGGTAGAAGAGGCAGAGAATGCATTTCCCTCAGGGAAAAACTGGATTAGCCAGAACTTCCTATGAAAATGAAAACAGACCCTATACAGGGGAGTGGTATGGAATGGTTTCATTTTTCACTCAAGTTTTACAGCAGGACCCCAGCTCAGAAGTCTGAAACTCTATGTTGAAGCTAACAGGAAAAATTTAACAAGACCCTACTGAAACCAAAGTCCTATGTTAAAGCTAAGACCCGAAAACCAAATAAAACTGGTGGAGATTTGCCAGGTCACGAATGTATGTGACCTCATGCCCACATTTCCTCTCCAGCTGATTTGCTCATTTTTAGTCTCCTGTTTCTTTGAGCCCCATAACAAATTTGGTGTCTTTCAACTGGAACCTAGAAATCGCTGGCCTTGAAACATCAGACTAAATTGTTAAGCTGAATTCAACTGAATTTTTTTAAAAAGCATTTTTCTGAGGGGACTTCAGTGCCCTTATACATTAACGTGTGTATACAGTGCAAGTCTCTACATTACCCTATGAATGTAAAGAGAAGTTACCTAACAGGCCAAGTAGTTTCAGGCCAAGGAAGGGAGGAAAAAACCGTTTATGGGGATGAAGAAGCCCTCTGTGAGAGAAGAGACTTAAAGTTCAAAAAGGTCAGATGGGGGAGGGAAAAAAAAAAAAGAACAGATATAAGGCGTAATCTTGGGGGATTCCACACACAGAATGGTTATCACAGCCTGCAGCACATTTTATCAGGAAAGGAAGTGGAAAAGGGACAGCAGGAGAAAGTAAGAAAGAGTTTGTTCAGTGAGAATAATTGAAAGGTTCTTATGACGTCTTCAGAGACAGACTGCGTGAAATCTGGTAAATAATGAAAATGAGACCTTTTACCAAAAGAAAGGGGAGGTCCCAGATTATATTATCAGTTGACAGTGGAAGAAGCATATGTGTAAAACATGTGTGCACGTGTGTGTGCGTGTGCATGTGCATGTGCATGTGCATGTGTTTACTGGGCTCTCGCCTTAAGTTACTAGTTGCACATATTAATCAAAGAGCACTACCCCTCCATCCGTTTCTCTATTACCTGTCCTACTTTGTGTCAATTTCCTTTCTCCTCTCCCACCCCTTGCTTCACTGTTCTTCTTTAAGACATGGGATGGGGATTTGTCAAAGTCAATGAGCACTTTATTACAGTGAGAACGTTCCGTAATGAACAATTCAGCGATTTAATGAGATTCTGTAGATCTGTCTCCAGCCTGTCCATCAAGATTCACTCCTATAAAGCACCCTGACACTAATCCTCTGGCATACCCAATCTTCACCCTGGGCTGAATATTAGATTCTTCCATGGTATATTGCATTACTAGTATAACCTCAGCAAAAATGATGAACTTAACTATACTTGAGGCAATATAGCTGGTCTGATTTAATTTTTCTCTATTGGGTTGAGTATGAGGGAATTACTTATTTACTAAGATAAAGCAAAAACAGTTTCTTATTGCCTGCTGAATGCCTAAATTGATCATATTTATGTGAGTCTTGTAATTCTTTCTTGAGGACCAAGTACAAAAAAGATATTGCCTGCAGCAGAAACCAGTTTTTAAAATTCTACATGATAATATTAGTAACCTTAAGAAAGGCAGTTATGATAACTCTTAAGTGGACAGTATGGAATTTTTTTTTTGGATACTCAGACATCTGCACATTACGTCTCTGGCAGTCCCTTCAACCATGCCACAAAAAGAGAGAGAAGCCACAAGGATGACTAGCTCAGATCTCAATTCGGTTAGAAATAATTAAATGCAGAACTCATTCCAAGTCTTTCCTTTTCCCTTTGGGAAGTGAAGAAAAATTTAGCAATCTCCCATTTTGAATTGACCAGAAAATGTTGATATTCGCATTTATAGGGAAGAACCACTGTTAATTAAAATTCATACCAAAAACTCATCCTGGGGCACCTGGGTGGCTCAGTGGGTAAAGCCTCTACCTTTGGCTCGGGTCATGATCTCAGGGTCCTGGAATTAAGACCCGCATTGGGCTCTCTGCTCAGTAGGGAGCCAGCAGCTTCCCTACTTCCCCTTCTCTCTCTGCCTGCTGCTCTGCCTACTTGTGATCTCAATCTCTCTCTCTCTCTCTCTCTCTCTCTGTGTCAAATAAATAAATAAAATCTTTACCAAAAAAAACAAAACAATTCATCCTTACCAACTTTTGACCTCTGCCTGAATAAACATTATCAGAAATACCTAAGAAACAGAATAAAATTATGGCTTATTCTTTTTCCTTACATTTTCTTTGTCAAGACAGCATGGAATACTGGAGAGATGAGGGCAGGTGTCTGCAGACATGACCTGTAGGCTAGCTCTTCTCTGGAACCCTCAGGAAGGCACTGAAACCCCATTTTGCTCATCTGGAACACGGAGTGATAACAACTGTCCTTCAAGCCCACTGTGACAATCAGTCAATAAGAAGAGTCCGGGTCCTGGAAGGCCCTCACAGCACCATAGCTCCTATCCTCAGTGGGAGAGCAACAGTAAAGAAGGAAGTTGCTGATTAATGTAATAAAAAGAGAGAAATAAGAGAGAGAAAGACATCAGGAAAACTATCAGTGAGTAGAGTCAGGTGCTGGATAATTAACAGCTACCTCTGCCTGTCCTGGCCAGGGTTAGAGTACTCTCCATATGTCCTTTGCTAAAATACCAGGAATTTAGTGTCCAATCAGCTAACAGATAGATGACTTTGTATTTTCTCGTCTTCTGTATATAAATAGCATGAACATGTATATAAAAAAGTATATAAATAAAATGTATATTTTATTGTTTTTCTCTCATGTATTCCGTCTATAAATAAATTAATCCTGAAATCTTGAAGGTATAACAAGATGGCGAGCCAGTGTTCAGAGAGTGAGGTGGGCGATGTAAAACGAAAGGGATAAGATGGGCTCTGACTGTTTCCCAAAGACACCGTGTGGATTGTTCAAGTAAAGCCAGTGGGGATGAGCAGAAAAGGATTTAAACTGAATAATCAACTCGAAAACACAAAACATCCTCCATCCCGTAGACAAAGGATGTTTGGAAAGAATGCTACGTCAGGAGAAAGGCAGGGTTTAGGAAAATAGCAATGAATGCAGAATGAACTAAAGGGGGAGATTTTTCCACTGCAGTGCAAGAAGAGCTTCATTTCATTTAAGGTCCCAGCTGCTCTCAGCTGCTACAAAGAAATGGTTCTGAATTGTTTACAGGAAAGCCCAGAATCTATTCTGTTTCCATTGGTCTTAAATACGCATTTATGGCGCTTGACAATCCGATTTTCTCATATTCAGTTTAAGAAACTATCTTCACTGGGAGAAAAGAAATTCTTGACTCTTTCTGATGTAACCCCCCCCCACCTTAGGTTTTTGGGAAGCCTCAGTGAGCGACTGAGAAACCACACCTCTGACAGCCCGAGTTAAGCTGAGCAGTGGCTGAGACCTCCGGGCCCTGAGGGCTGGTGTTCTCCAATCACTTGCCCACCAAGGGAACATGACTTCTGCCTTTGACCCTGAGGAGAACCGAACCAGACAAAATAGTTATCATCGTTCCTCAACTGTTCAACTTTTAACCATTCCGAGCCTTTTCCCTGCCAAAAGAGAACCCATTCAGGGCGCCCTTACCTGCCAGATCTGCGCTTCACTCAGGGAGGTCAGGCGGTCGCTCTTCAGAACCTCCTGGAGCAGACAATAAGGAAGCGTTAGAACGTCTTCTGGGCGACTCTTCAGGAGCTCAGAGAGATGTTTCACTAAGAAATCGATCACTGCCTTCTCCAGCAAAGTGAGGTTAAAGAGGTCAGCAAGTCTGTACAGATCCAAGTAATTAAAGCTATTTAATTCCTGGGTGCCAAAAAAATAAAAACGGGGGGAAAAAAAGATCTCTTAGAAATTAATCCAAGAAAGAGCAGGCAAGAAATTCAGACTGATTCACTAAGGTTTTTATGACAGGAGTGGGGAAAATAGGACTCCACTGATAATGTAAAAAAAAAAAAAAAAAAAAATCCTTTAACTATGACTTTGGCAGAGAACTGCATGTTCTAGAATTCATCATTTCTCCTTACTTTGTCCCTCTTAAAACCCATATATTTAAAGACATATTTTTTTAAAGATTTTTAAATTTATTTTTGATAGAGGGAGCAAGAGAGAGCATGAGAGCACATGTGGGGGGAGGGGGAGAGGGAGAGAGAGAAGCAGACTCCCCGCTGAGCAAGGAGCCCCATGCTGAACTTGATCCCAGGACTCTAGGATCATGACCTGAGCCGAAGGCAGATGCTTAACCAACTGAGCCACCCAGGTGCCCTAAAGACGTCTTAATAAAGGGGTTGAGAGGAGTTTCTGGCTTCGCTGACTGAAATGTTACTTTGCAAAACACATCTTACCAATGAAGAAAATTGATTTTTTTACCCTTTCTGTATTTCACAGCTCTCAGGCGAGAAGTTCATTCAACTACAGAGAATGTGCGTGTAGGTAAAGTAGGAGTTTTGATTTGATGACACAAACTACAGAAGACAGATGGACCCTTCTTTTTCCAAAACTTCAAATGAAGTATGTCTCTGAGTAAAAAGAACCCATCCTGACTTAATGAAATTAAAACACAGATTTTTTACACATAAGGTCTCAGGAAATGAAGGAATCTCTCAGAAAAGATTCCTGTCCTAAATAATTCTATATTGAACCTACTTAAGATGAACAATTTATAATTATTCTTTATTTTTTGTTAGCCTCAAATGTTCAGACAACCAATGACAATATTTCCTTCTTATTCAAGGAGTTCCTGTAGCAATGCTCATTTTGGGGGGATTTTCCCTGTCCCTACCACTTCTCAAGTTCATAGCTATGGCTCTAAAATAATGCCCCCTGAGAGCCATGACTCCCATGGTAACTTTCTTTAACTCTGCGAGAATCACAGTGGGCACACAGGCTTGATGATAGCAAACTTATTTCAAGTAGAATAAATGTCCTGTTTCCCCCCATTTTTAACTTGAAAATTTGAATATGTGAGCGGTATTTTCCACCAGCTTAAGGAATGCAGAATACCATCAGATAGCTATATCACTCCACTGAGCTATTTAAGTAGTTTTCAACATATTTTCCCCTTTTCTAGTCATCCAGGAATATTAAGAACACTTTCTAAAATATTTATATTCTATTTGAATGTTTTGTTTTCAGAATATTTGTAGTTTAAAGGACTGCGTTCTAAATCTGTGCTGTCCAGCATGGTAGCCCCTAGCCTCAAGTGGCTCCTGAGCACTTAAAATATGGCTCATCTGATTTGAGAGGTGCTCCAAGTGTTAAAGTACCCCAAATGCCAGGAAGAAGAGAAGCAGAATGTAAAATATCTCATTAATAATTTTATATTGATTATATGTTAAAATGATATTCTTCTGGATACAGTAGATTAACTATGTCATTATAATTAATTTCCTCTGTTTCTTATTACTTTTTTTAATGCAACTACTAAAAAAAATTTAGAATGATGTATGTGGCTCCCATTGTGTTTCTATAGGACAGTGCTGTTCTCCAGAATAAAATGTTAATAAAGAAATTGCAAAAACGGCTCTTTGAGTAACAGCTGCATCATCATCATGGCTACCTGATTTTTTTTTCTTTTTTTTTTTACTTTAGATTCCATTTCTTAGGAGGGGAGATGACACTTCAATTATATTCTAACAGGAGTCAAGCCAGATGACTTCAGGAATCAGCATAAGATTCTGGCTCCTCATAGCTCTTTTTGCCAACACAACTGAAAAGGAATAAACGCTTAGCTTTAAAATGAAATTTACTACAGATGACCACTAAAAATTCATTGCAACTCAAGTATCTAAGAGTCCACTCACTGCCATTCAATCAATATATCCTGGCTTCCCATTCAGCAGATTTTACCAAAGGAATACTGAAGATTTTAAACTCTAGCACCAATTATTTCAAATAATGCTTATACTGTTCTCCAAATCTTACATTTTAGGATTGGTAAATTTTATTCTGGGAGTAAAGAACATGTCACCCTTGTTTCCATAAAGTACTTTAGGACCAACTCCTGGGAATGAATGTTCTTTCTGGTCAGTACATCTATGTAGCAAGTTTAACTGCTCAGGGTCCTGAATATAACTTTGGTGTCCCCGTAAATCACTCTGCAGGCCCCCAGAGGCATGCTGGGTGAAGTCAAGGTGGTGTCAGTGCATTTCAAATACCCCAGGCACATGTCCAAGACATGGCTCAAGGTCCTGAGGCAGTGCCCAGCAGCACGGCATGGAGATAACTTAGCATGTGCAGAAGCAGAAACAGCTAAGCTCAGCAAAGTTAAAGGTGGACAGGCGGAGCCCAGCAAAAATGTTTTTATCCCCAGTTGTTCTCCTGCCAAGAAGTACATAAAACTACAAATTTGGGAATGAATTACGTAGAAGCAATCAAATATTCTTTATCAAGCATCTTTATTTCCTTGTAGAGAGATACTGGGTTTCTTCCAATTAGATGCCTTCAGCTTAAAAGTAGTCTGGTTCAGAACTATGGAGAACCAGAGAATTAACCAAATTAACCAAATTAACCAAAATTAACCTTAATTTTGCTTCTTTTCTGTTGCATTTCTTTTGAAGGTAGTCAATGAATGCCTGCTTCCCCAGTCCTGAAATGTTTTCATTTTCTAAGGGTCTAATTTTACATAACTCCCAAATGCAAACTAACAAATATTTCATATTAGTAGAGAACTAAGAAGCTAACTGGAAAAGCATCAGTGTCTGTCTGAACAGCAAAAGGGAAATGAACTGAGACATATATTACTTTACAAGAGAAACATCAGTTAAAAGTTTACTCCCTATCTTTACCTTTTCATTTCTCTTCTCTTCTACTTAAAAACATAATTTCCCAGGCACCTGGATGGCTCAGTCAGTTGGGTGTCTGATGCTTGGTTTGGGCTCGGGTCATGATCTCGGAGTCGTGACACTGAGCCCCGAAATTGGTGTGGAGCCTGCTTAAGATTCTCTCTCTTCCTGTCCCTCTGCCCCTCCCTACCCTCTAAAAATAAATAAAATCTGAAAAAAAGAACAAAAAACCATAATTTCCCCAAATCTCCAGTGCTTTCTATACATGTCACAGGTTTCCACTCCCTTTGCCATGCATACTTAGCTACTCAGTAGTTTAAACTGTGTAAAGTAGGAAGATCAGGGAAAAAAGATAAACCATCTTCAGTGAGGTCATGATGCTACATCATGCATTCCTCTTGTTGGCGCTTTGTGAGCTTTAAGCAATATCATCATTTCTTGTCCTTTTGGCTAAGACCTTGTGCAAGCAAAATAATACCAATAATGCTTTTAGAGATTCTCATAAATGTGATGTGGGGAGGTGGGAAGCAGTGGTTAAATTACATTAAATGAAAAAAAAAAAGAAAAAAGAAAAAAAAAATGGGGCCCCTGGGTGGCTCAGTGGGTTAAAGCCTCTGCCTTCAGCTCAGGTCATGATCCCAGGGTCCTAGGATCGAGCCCTTCATCAGGCTCTCTGCTCAGCAGGGAGCCCATTTCCCTCTCTCTCTGCCTGCCTCTCTGCCTGCTTGTGATCTCTGTCTGTCAAATAAGTAAATAAAGTCTTTAAAAAAAATTACATTAAATGCCCACCTATAATACTGTGCATGGAAGAAAATAATCACTGTTATATAAATAGTGCCATTATGTTTCCAGTTATAAAAAGTAATAAATGTTTATTCCATAAATTCAGGAAAAGTATGGAAAAGAAAACAAAAACCATTCATATATCACCATGCTGAGATAATCACTATTAATGTTTTCATATACATATTCTAGATCTTTTTTCAAAAAGTCTTTTTTATATCAGAGAGAAGGAAAGAATAATTGCATTAAGGGGCAGAAAAAAAACCATCAGCAGACAGAGGCACTTGGAGGTAACCCACCCTGGTGAAGAGCAAAGGCCGTGCATACAATCAAGTCAACCTGGTTCAATTCCAACCCTAACACTTACCATTGTCCATGACTTTGCTCAATCAGTGAACCTCCCATTGTTCTTCAGTTACAAAACGGAAATTTCAACCAGCTCATAGGGTTATCATGGGGATAATGAATAAAAACCTCTTACCACGCACAACTTGACACATGAAAAGTAGACATCGGACTTGGTAGGCAAGGAATAATAAAGTATATTTGAGCACTGCTGTTTGGCATCCACAAACCCTGATTCAACACTGATGCAAGGAGGTCAAAATGAAGAATGTGGTCCCCTTTAGATATAAAAGTAATAAATAACCTATACCATTAAGTAAGGGAAAAGAAGGATGGCCAAAACAAAAAAACATACAGCTGAGTTGTAAACTGATCATATGTTAATGACTTCCTTGTCTATACAAGCAGTCGATACCTCTCTCAGCTCTGAATTCATTTTCCCAACTACCTGTAAGAGTACATCTTCTCTTGGATATTCCACAGTATGGAATGGATGAAGATGTGGTTGGATGACCACAACCAACCATGCACATCAGGATCTTAAAACGTGGCCCATATTCCTCCCTCATAACCAGTCATTCACCAAATCCTGTTTGCTCTTCCTCTTTAGCAGTTCTTTCTCTGCTCCTCATCATCTCCTATCCAGACTTCCTACAGCAGGGTCCTAAATTTCTACCTCCAGTATCAAATTCTCAAGCCTCTCTTTTTATGAGAATCTGACCATACTGAACATCTGTTAAAAACTCACTAACAAGGCCTCCCTCAAGAAACAAGAAAAATCTCAAATAAACAATCTAATCTTACACCTAAAGAAGCTAAAAAAGAAAAAAGCCCAAGGTTAGTAGAAGTAAGAAAATAATAAATATTGAAGCAGAAATAAATGAAATAGAGATG